ACCGTGCTACATGGATTCAGGCAAAGGTGTTTCTAAACAACCCCGAGGGGGAGGTGGTAGCTGAGGGCTTAGCCACAGTTGTCGATCCAAGAGATGCGGTTGCTAATCAAGAATTGGGCTGGGATGATATTGGAGTTGCGATTTTAGAGGTTGTTGACATAGAAGAAAACAGTCTGACTATTGGAAGCATTGTGCGGTGAAAATTGAGGCATTTAGTGTTTGAGAATGTGAAGGATTCACAATCAAACACCACTACAACTGATGACAGAACATCTCTTCATGGGAAAAGAAAGTACATCTTCCTACAGCGCAACCAAAAGGATCTGAGCAACGAACCGAAAAGGCAGAAAATGGCGATGGAGGTTCGAATGGTCTCGACAGTTGCTTGTTGCAAGAGGAGGTGCTGTCAACATACTGATTGGGATGCTATTGAAGAGGAGAGAGCAAGATACAAGACATTGTCCTGGAAGGCAGCTCGCAATTTTGTGTATGAGGCATTACGGTCATCTGTTGATGCTTCAGAACATCAGGTGGGGGGCATGGTCTTCCAGAGGGGTTTGGTCTGCATGAAGGCATGGAGAATCATTTATGGAGTCCCTCGAAGCACATTCTACAGAATCAAAACTGAGTTCGAGGAACAAAGGGTTCAACAGGCAGTCCATGGGAACGACGGTACGCACAAAACCAGGGGTCATGTTGTATATGGAGAGGCAATCTTCAAGAGGTTTGTCGAGACATGTAGCGAGCAGCAACCACATAAAACCCGCCTCTTGGAAGATGGAACACGAGACACCCAACGAGTTCTCCCTTCCATGTATACCAAGGGGGCCATATTGGAAGATGTGAATCGGGAACTCCAGAGTAATGGCTACAGGAAGCTGAGCCAATCTAGATTTAGTAGATTGTGGAGCAACAGGTTCAGGGATGTGAGTATAGGAAAGTACTCCAGCTTTTCAAAGTGTGACGAGTGCACTGCTATCAAAATGGCTTTGTCGAAGAATTCTTGCAGCGCTCAAGAGCGAGAGACGTTGGTTAGAAGGCGGCTCGACCACAACATCGAGCAGAGAAGCTACAGAACTGCATATTATCATAACAGGATTCTCTCCATGGAGAGACCTGACTCTTACCTCTGCATCATCCATGACAAAATAGACCAGAAAAAGACGTGCTTACCTCGACTCAATCCTGCCCCCAAGGCAATCTCTTCATCCATGCAGCTGCCTGTGTCTCTGTTTGGCATAATCGCTCATGGGCATGGTGCCCAGAACTATGGGAACTTCTTTGTACCTCTATGGGGTGGCGGGGGTGCAAACATGATGATTGCGTCCCTAGCAAATCACTTAAGGTCTTTGCAAAGTGCGCAGACTGAGCTGAACGGCCAACCCTTGCATAAGGCCCTTGTCGATCGAACCCCATACAGGGTTCAGCTGGAGGAGGAGCAAAGGCTTGCAGTATCGCGTGGGGCCCCATGCCATCCCAGTGAATATGTTGGCTGTCAGATTGTAGGGTTATCACGTGAGGCCTCATGCCATTCCGACGAGGCTGGTCACCCGGTGAATGCACAGCCTCATCCAAACGAAGCATAATCTCAAGGAAGTTCTTGCGGCCGATGTGGCCTTCCACCCCATCTTCTGCTCCAAACAGACAATGCTGGCAGTGAGAACAAAAACATGTACGTCTTCGCGTACTTGGCGATGCTTGTTGCCAAAGGCATATTTGAAACGGTTACACTTGGCTTTCTCATGGTTGGGCACACTCATGAAGACGTCGATGCCATGTTCAGTCACCTGGCAGAGTCCCTCCGGCGATCCAATGTCCTCACCCTCCCACAACTCTACGATGAATTCCAAAATTGCATCAAAGGCACTGTTGAAGCTGCACTTGTGACAGAGGTTCCAGACTTTAAGGGGTTTGTAAGAGGCTACATCAGGGACGGATCCGAAACGCTGATTGGCCACTCCAAGCCTCTTCAGTTTCATTTCAGCATGCGTGACGGTGCTCCAGTGATGAGGTACAAGATGAGAGAATGGGACACAGTGTGGCTGCCAGTGGACGGCATTGAACTCTTCAAGAGAGATCCCATAACTGGGGAACCTATGATTCCTCAGGGTTCCCCACGGCCGATGCACCCGGATGGACTCAAAGACCAGGAAAGTATAGTGGCCGGGATTAGACAGCATATTGCCTTCTGGAAGAGGGGGTTGGTGTTTGGTGGAGAATCCTATTTTAAGAGGTGCAAGCCTTTGCTTGAATACTGGGAGAAGATTATATCTGCTATCCAAAATGGGCCGGTTGTATATGAAGAATTGGAAGAGTCCTTTTGGCCAGAACCCAGAGCACCAGATAGTAGCGGAACAATGTCCTCTGGAAATGCAGTGACAGATAACGATGTTGAGGATCACTATTGTGGGCCGAGGAACAAGAAGCCGGATTCAGCATTCAATCCAGTACAGGTCTGCAAAGGAATGGTCGTGCTTGTCAGACTCAGTAATAAAAAACAAATGATATGGGTGGGGCGCTGCATCACTGATGCAGAGGAGGACGCGGAAACTAACTCCTTCAATGTAACTGTGCAGTGGTTTAAGCCAAGTTCCGGATATACGAAGGATTGCCTAGAAAAGAGATGGGTGCTGAATCCTAGGGATCCCAGCATGAGCATATCGGTGGATAATGTTGTGCATGGTTGGATGCGGAAGTAGAGTGCCACCATCACCTTGCCAGACCATGCAAGAGATGCAGCAAGAGCATTCATAACCCGGGTTCAAGGTGAGATTCATTAATATTCCTTTACTAAGTTTCTAATGTATTTTATTTCAAGGTGAACAATCCGAATCTGAATCAGAGGAGGCGTGATGGCATGTGGCCCTTTGCACTAGTATATCTTAATACCGGTCTGAGAAATAGAATGGCATGTGCCCTCAGGCCTTTTACTAAATCACCTTTGAAAGAAATGCAAGCCTCTATGTCATAAAAAATAGGTACTAGAGAAATTCCTTAATAATATGAATGTTATTTAGTTTCATGAAAATACACTAAGGGTCAAATGAGTTAAATGACTTCTCCAGACTAGCAATGCCTCTTGCTACACCTTCACAATTAGATTCGTTAGAAAAAGATAATATTGAATAATATCTAAATGTTCTCACCATTAAGTTATATGTCTGGCTAATAGGAATGACGTTCATCTTGGAAAGCTCACCACACGCTCAATGAACAAACAAATAGTGTGTGCGCGCATGCCATTGCTCTTCTTTAGCTTCAGATTCGGCTTGTTCACCTTGACAATGAGATTTATTATACAACCAGATGGACTCAGTCTGGACACAAAGTCATCGCGCTAGTCACCATGCCCCAGATATGTCTAGCCCCTGGACAAAAAACATATAATTTCACGTCATTTTTAAATACTTGAAAATTTGTACCTAGTCCCATTTTACTGAATAAATCCCACTTTAACGAAACAGAGCTTCTAGGAGGTTTTCCTAGTTGGAGAACCCTCTGTTGCAAAGCAACACGATCCCCTCCTCAGACGTTGAAATCATTTAATCCGTTTTCTGCAACGAGTAGGCTCTCTCCTAAACGCTGTAAGTGCTCCAAGTCAATAGATAGCCGGAGAGTCCAGTATCCTCTCCGTCCAGGACAATACTGCATGCTAAGGAGCTGCTTGAAGAGGTTTACAGCTTCAGTGTATCTGGTCAAGAGCCAGTTTTTGTTCAAAATTATTGTCCGCCATTGGTGAAACAGCGTACCTGCGTTCTTTCTCCAGAAACGATGCAGCCACAGTACAGATTGTTGCATACACCCATGCAGCCGAAAACCGTGCTAAAAATGGATGCTTGATCTCAGTGTGTGCATTGATCAATTCGAGTGTAGTCCTTGCTTTTCAAAAAGAGGAGTTTAGAGCCTCAGAATTACCAGCTTCCAGGGACATGTCAACCACCTGAGCCAATTGCAATGCCTGAAAACTTGACGGTCAGACAAATTTTATAACAAAGTAGGAACGGACCTGCTCATACGCCAGAAAGTCCTCTCGAGAAGCAAAGACTGGCATTGTTCTAGCGCACCTATAGCTTGGATACTTGATCCTTCCAATATCCACAAGAAAAACATGGAACTCCTGCTCACCGTTTAGAAAGAACAGCCTCTGAATAAACAAATAAAGAAATAAATAAATTGCTCAGCATCAGCAGTGTAACACTTTGGAGAGGATGTCAACTGACCTGTAAACGCCAAAGTAGAACTTCAACTGTTTCGGCTATTCGAATGCACGGGCCGGTTGCTTCACGAATTAAAGCTGTTAGATTACTGCCGCCAAGTATTTCACGCTTGTATAAAAAACCAATGATCACTTGCTACTTACAAAATGCAGCGAAATCAATGCATCTCGAATTGCTGTAGTAAGCTGTTCCTGCTTACTGAACAAAAGTGCTCCGGTAAGTTTGAAAACCGGATTTTCAAACTTAGCGGAGCACTTTTGATCTGTAAGCAGGAACAGAAATAAAAACAAGGAAGAAAGTCTTAGAAGTAACTACCATGATTTTGCTGTTCACTGCCAAATCTTTGAGCTCTTGTACAGTCAGATGTTCAAGCAACTCAGACGAATTGACGTCCGCGTCGAAAACTAAGTAGTGTCTCTCTGTTACAAGGGAGCAAACATATTATGAGTACACGATGAAAGAAATTGAGTACCGACTAACTCATGGACTGCAGAATTTGTGTCACCAATATCTTCATAGAAGATGTTCTGAAGACGGAACCATGGCCCTGCAAAACCACTGTCTCCCTTGAGTCACAGTTTGTGCGACGGCGTTGAGCCAATCTTACAAAAAGGTGCTGTCCATCAGACGAGATTGAACGAAATGCCTCGAGAAGTTCGATCTCGTCTGGAGTAAAGAGATGGAGATCCCGTTCCAATACCACTTGGAGCATGTAGAGAAAATTCTGTTGGTATCGACAGCCGTGGTCTTGTCCTTGTCAGCTGCATCCATCAGACGGCTCCATTTGACAGCCAGCACTTTTTCTTCTGAGAGACTTCCAATAGTCCGACTCTGGATCTCACGCAAATCAAGCTTGAGGCGTGCAGCTTCCGATGTACTCTCGGAGACATATCCCTGAAAGCTTTGTGAACAATTGAAAAACGCCCCAGAGATTATTACCTGAACGTCTACCACGCCTTTGTCCATGAGAGGAGACAAATAACGCGAAAGCTCTTTTGGAATATGTCCCAGCGAAAGCCCATCTGCCGTAAGCACCTGGTGCAACGTTGTTGTCAGCCATGAAACAGTCCATTCAGTCAAGTTTACCTTCACAGCGTATGTATCCATGGGATTTTCTGGTTCCCTTACCAGGTGAACTCGCATCCCAGCTTGGCACTCGACGTCTCTGTGGTACTTGCGGCCAGCAATCCTTGCCTCCAGGCAACCATTGTAAAGATCTCTAGTTTCACTGTTGAGCTCTGCCGGAAGGACGCTGTTGGCCACGTCGGGCTCCTCAAAGCTTTCAAGAGTAGAAGAAACTTCCGGTTTCGGAGACCCTGCCTTGAGCGGAGGAGACTTCTGAACTTAGACAGGCTTCAAGAGCGAGTTGGATTTCTAGTACGCAGTTTCCGCTTTCCTCGTACTCTATCTTTTTTGACAAGTTGAAGTGAAAGAGTGTATGCTGGACACTGTTCTTCTTTTTCTTCCCACTTTGCAGGCAAGTATCTGAACAAGAGAAACCATCGATCAGCGTGCTTGAACCAAAACAGAGCAAAATCCAAACCAAGATGGCAGTTGACGAGAAGTTCATTCCCGCGTATTTGCTTCCCACACACAGGGCATTCCACCCAGTCACAACAAGCTAAGCTCAGGCCTCCTTTTATTTCCAGCGAAACATCACCACACTCCAACTCCTCCTGCAGGAAAACGATCACAGATCCACCGAAGAAATAGAACCTCGATCACTCACCCGAGCCGGGAGTGACACATTGCGCTGCCGCTTCCCAACAAGCCGAATCAAGCTCTCACGGCCCCGGAGCATTGCTGAGATTACCGCATGGAACACCGCCGAGCTGTGTGTAGGACGCTTCCTCTTCGCAGACCTAAACCCTAGCCAAATAAAACATTTCCCTCCATTCCTTTGAATTCACTAGGGCAAAAGTTTATGATCACCCTGTATTACAAGCGAACATTCTTAGCGTGCTTCGACCAAGGGGAGAAGTTAATATTTACATGGCATTTCAAGACTATGAAGTCAATATAAATTGCAATCCCATTCTTCAAGTCATAGACAAAGCTATATTACAAATACTAATACTTCAACCTCAAACAACTAAGTTGGACATCACCATCCTCAGCCAAGGCATAGGGCCACAAAACTCACTACTCTCATAGAGTTTAATGAAATGCAAGGTGCAACTTGCCACCAAGTAGAACACTATAGAAGAAAAGCACAAAGGTCATCTTTCTAAAAAAGTGTAATGGCCACTTTTCTACACTAACTCTAGACTCTATCCAACTCATTTGCCTTAGCCCTAAAAGTTAATATCCTTTTCGGATCGCATCATACAAATTACCTATTAAGATCGAAGCCAACTGAAGTCAACTCCAACCCTTTCACTAATTGGCCATTATTTTCTTTGAGATGCCCAAGTGGGACTGTTGCTCGTGGAATAGCATCCTAGGCACAATCATAGAGGATCGATGATACAATTGTGATGTTTTAGAGAATCCCTTTTAGAGACACAACTTGATGATCACAGTAATGGGTTCTTGCAGCCATATCTATAAGGCACAAGCTCTGTTCACCGTGATGCCAAAGAGAAACACTATCTCCTAGAGTACAATGATCAGAGCTTATGTGCAGCAGGGACTGGCCGTGGACGCAAAGATCATGTTTGATTCTATGGAGTCTCACAACACAGTCGCATGGAACTCACTCCTGGCAGTCTACCTTACGAGTGATTGAGTGGGTGATGCTAGAAAAGTGTTTGATTCCATGCCTAATTGAGACACGGTGTCGTGGACGTCAATGATCTCTGCCCATGCCATACGGGGCCAGATGCATGCTCTTCGATTCCATGTGGTGCATTGTGGTAGCATTGAACATGATCATCTCCAGCTCCCTGAGGAGCAGCAATCTCAATGAGGAGCATCCCTCTTTGGTTGGGTGCCCCATCACAACACCATGATGATCAATGCCATGGTTGCAGCACACGCGTAGGAATGGTTATATTGATAGAAGTTGAGACTACTCGAGAATGAGTAGTGAGATTGAGATAGAGAAGGTGTCTTTAATGGGTTTAGCTAGAGGTAAACTAATAAAAGGGAAAGAATCACCCCAAGTGGTCAATCGAGTTTCTATGTTGGAGAGACTATACTCCTTAGAGGATGGACAAGGCAGGGTGAGTCTTCAGTGTCCAACCCTTGACGAATATTGGCTAAATGCCAAGGATGCAAAGGGTAATACATGTTGGTATTACTTTATAAAATAGTTTATCGTTCGATGAGGACATCGAACTTTGTCTATGGGTGGTGAAGTTGTGAGACATAAATCCCTAAGCCCCAAAATGGAGCCGAAAGGGTGCCACGTGGTAGTGGCCAAAGCGAAAGCCAAACAAGCATAACATGTTTAAACTAAAAGCTCCGACTTGAAAGGTCAAGAGTGGGAGTAGAACTCCCAATGAAATGCTCGAGGAACAAGCATGAAGCGAACAATAAATGAGTCTCTAAGAAAGGGACACAAGAGGACTAACACATGACACATGGAAGTGTCTGAGATGGACCCGAGATGGAGATTGAGATGGACCCGAGATAGAGTCCAAGATGGAGTTCGAGATGGACCCGAGATGGAGTCTGAGATGGACCCAAGATGGAGTCCAAGATTGACCCGAGATGGAGTCTAAGATGGACCCAAGATGGAGTTCGAGATGGACCAAGATGGAGTCTGAGATGGACCCGAGATGGAGTTCGAGATGGACTGAGATGGAATCTGAGATGGAGTCTGAGATGGACCCGAGATGGAATCCGAGATGGAGTCTGAGAAGGACTCAAGATGGAGTCCAAGGTCGAGACCGAGACCGGGACTGGGACCGGGACCAAGATCGAGGCCAAGACCGAGGCCAAGTCCGAGTCCGAGTTCGAGTCCGAGACCGAGTTTGAGTCCGAGGGTGAAAGCCCAAAGCATTCGTCTCCTAGACCCTAGGGGGTTTTGTGAGCTCCAAAAGTATAGTAGAGGGAGGACTCCAGTGGAGCTAGTTTGGCTAGGAAATGCTAGTTTGGCCCAACAAGGCTGTACTCAAGTGTTGGGTGATGGGATAACCACTAGGAAGTCCAAGGCTAGAGTGAATACGGACTGACAAGTGGGGTAGCTTGGTGAAATGTTCAAAAGTTGGCTCTAGTTCCCCTAGGAGATCGAATGGTTAATGCTCCTAGTCCAAGTGTGGGTGGCACTATCTGCTTGGATACCTGGCGTGGCTCAACAGAACCTTGCTCTAACCCCATAGCTAGAGCACCAAAAGGCAGAAGGTGGGGAGAGTACCCATGAGGCTCACGTAAAGCCACGGTGTTCCAAAATGTTGTCCCAAATTCCCAGACTGTGAAAAGGAAGAAGAGCAATCCTTTAGTGCAGTGACTAAGTTTACGGTCACATGGTGAGGAAGTCCCAAAGGACAGTGGGACTTAGAAGTTGGGCCTGCAGGCCTTGTTCCAATGGCAGTGGTGGTGAACACGGCCATGGACAGAAAGGGACTTGGTGGGAACTGAAAAAGGGATATTGGGGAAGGTTGTTCCCCACGTCTGTGGACATCCTAAGGATGCTAAGGAGTGGATCTGGGATGACCACTCATGAACAGATGGCCTAATCTTGGAGAGATAGGATTGTGATCTAGGTGGTATTGGATCACCAGTGTAGCAAAGGTGATTGGGCATAGCCTTAGTGTAACAGGCTGATATATTGGTGGTACCTTTGAGTATTAGTCACAGGGTCGGACACGTGGAGCACTCAGACCAAGTGTAAAGGTTGAGTGGCAGGGATGCCATTCTCGGGGCTAGCAAGCCCCAAGTCCAGAATAGGACCTATGGAGGTTGTGAGTGAGACTCCTCTAAGTGGTCGGAGGTGTGGTTAAGTGACTAAAGTAGAATGGAAAATTTAGTCGCTTACAATGTTATCTATAATTGAGTTTTGCTGAAGGATTTGGTCTTGGATACTGATTAAAATATCTTCGACTTTAGTTAGCTTAGTTGTTAGAGAGTTTTGGGTGGTGATTCACCCTTGCTTTCTTCTAGTTTTGTTCTGGTGTTGATGGCATAAAAGTGATGCCTTATTATTGATATTGAGATTCAAATAAAATGAGATGTCTCTTTATAAGATTAATATTGAGATTCATTTGTCTTGATGGAGATAGTGTTGATGATTTAGTTGTAGTTTTATGTTATTAGCATTCATGCATTTACTAATTAGCAACTATATTGATGTTTAAATGAACTAAGTAGCAAGTTGAGTTAGTTATGTTCAAGATGAAATTGCTTAGTTGGGGTTGAATTTTTAGTTTTTCCTTGAAAAGTGATTCAGTCGTGGACTATTTTAGCTTTATGAGAAGAAGAATTAGTGATTAATATTGGAATGTTTGAATCCTTATTAAATTTGAGTTAGAATGTATTGATCATTGATGATACTTTTTATGCTTGTTATGAAGTGAATTACATCTTGTTATAAATGGATTCATGGAGGATCGTTTGGTGAGTGTAACTTCAATATGCTTAGCTTTTGGATTGATGCAAATATACTTTTCATTAGCTTTAGTATTATGAAGTTTGGCTTATAGATGTGTTGAGGAAGATATTGTGGGTTGTACCATAATTAATTTTTTAGCATTGAAGTTGGTTTATACAAGACTTATTATCATTATTAGGCAAGACTTAGATATGGGTTTCTTTGAGCTTTTGGTTCCTTAAGTTTTTATGTTTGTGGTCCATTTGTTAAAAGTTGTTAGGGAAGGCATTCTAACTCATGGCTTTGATGTTGAAGTTAGTATTTGCATCTAACAATCATTGGTGATAATTGACTATCATCTTGGGATAATTGATTATTCTCATTAAAAGATTGTTTGGTTTTTGTTGATGTAGAATGATGTGTCATTCTTCGAGATGGTAGATTCTTTCTTCAATGATGATTATGCATTTCTCTTTTGATGGGAGAATTGATGATTTTTCATGATGGTTAGTTGTTCTCTTTGATAGCTTTTGGCTTTATGCAT